CGTGACCTAAATGTTTGCTGAGCTTTGCGCATGCGCACATGTGACGAAATGCTCCGTTTGCGACTCGATTCCAATTTTTCGTTATAAAGAGTCGTTCAAAAGATTCGGATCGTTCGTGGACTTCATATCTCCAGGTTTAAGTTCGCGGCTCTGCTTAAAGACCAACGACATCATGCCGGTCACTGTCAGGAAAGTCATTTTTATTCACTTCGCCGTTACAATAGGCGCCTGCTGTTGCGCACAGATCAACGTGAGCCCGGAGGACAGCCCGGACATCCCGGCGATCGCCAAATATTTCTGCACCAAAGGGAGGTATGAAGAAGTTAACCCTCATCTCGTAAAGGACGTCCTCGCCGTCAACAGGTCGACGCTGCAGCCTCCGTCCGCGAGCTGCCGCGAGCTCCACCTGACAGCCATCGTCCGGCACGGCACGAGGTACCCGACCGGCAAGAACGTCAAGAAGATGCGAAAGTTTAGCGATCTGGTCCGGAGCGAGGCCCGAGGCGAGCAGGGCTGGCTGCGGGAGCTCCGGAGCCGGTGGAGGATGTGGTACACGGAGGACATGGACGGAAGGCTCGTCCGGAAGGGGGTGGAGGACCTGAAACACCTGGCCGTCAGGCTGTCCAAGCTGTTCCCGTCKGTGATCTCAGAGGAGAAGCTTCGCGCCGGGCTCATCAGGTTCATCACCAGCTCCAAGCACAGATGCGTCAACAGCACGCTGTCCTTTAAAGCAGGACTCACACAGCTGTGGGGCGTTGAAGGTAAGATGGAAGACATTAAAAATAAAAATAAAAACATTCTGAGAAAGTCTGGATGCGGTGTAAAAATCAGATATTTCTCAGTTTTATTTCATGATAAGAATATTTTTGATTAGTGAGAGGTCTGGACTGCAGGCACCCCAGCTCTTCTACTACAAAGTTATTGTAATAGACAGTAGCAGTTTAGCATTGTCTTGCTGAAATGGGCAAGGCCTTCCCCGTAAAAAAAATAATAATAATAAAAAAATAACTTTTGCTGGATGGGAACTGTGTGTTCTTAACCCTGTATATACTTTTCTGCAATGATGGTGTAAGCTGCTCATAACAGAAGCATAAATACACCCCWATACCAGCAGAGAGGCAGGCTTTTGAACTGTGCACTGATACAAGGCTGGATGGGCATGTTCTTAAGTATGGAGGATGTACACTCACCGGCCACTTTATTAGGTACACCTGTCC